AAATACCCATATACCGTACCGCGGGGGCATTGTTGCCACACCCCCAACCCATTTAGCATCCCTAACAATTAAACCCGAGTAAGGTCGATGCCGTCGCTTAGCTCTGTTCCGTTCGGTGCGCTAAGCTCTGCTTTGTTCCGACATCGGCCTATTTGATCCAGGGAACGTGTGTTCCATTTTATATGAGTCACGGTCACAACAGTATGTCATTTCAATTCTTCGTCAAAACAAATCAATTAGAGCATGTTTGGCCGTTATTAAAAGTCATATTTACCAACTATCCATTTCATTAAGTCAGAAATGAAACAACCAGAAGATATAAGCACAAATATCATCCTAAAAAAAAATCCTAATTATGCAAGATTAAGTACTTAAATTTTCCAAGAACCGATCATGAATACAAATCCACAACAAACAACTCAATTAGTCACGAAAAATTCGTAATGTAATCTAACATGTTGAACCAAAAATTGATCACAGCAAAATGAAAACAGAACCAATAAACTCAACAAATTATTTATAATAAAAAGATAAATTTGTATATATTCGCAATGTGTACCTGGTGCTTAGTAAGGCGCCTGTGAATGGCGAGGGTCTTCTTCGATCTACTGATCAAGGGGCAAGTACTTTTTATTCTTCTAACCTTTTCTGAGTGCGGCCTTCTGCGTTTGAGAAATCACAGTCAGCACCTGGGCAATGGACAGCCTCACCACTTTGATTTTGGATAGCTTGTTGGCGGCGCCACCGGTCGCCTTCGCCACCCGAAGCAGTTCCACAGCTCCGCTACAAATCCTTCAGCTGGGCCAATAAATCCACCTTGCTCTTCTCCCTCAATTCATGCACCTTAATCCTCGCTACAAAAGCAAATTTAAAAAAATAATAAAAAATGAATTGATAATAAAAGGAAAAAATTTGTTTATTTTGAACAAAAATTGGAAATTAAAGTTTTTTCCCTTCAGAATTCATACCCACTTCGAATATCTTTTTTTCTCTGATGAATGATGAAGCGGGAAATGGAGTGATGGAAACTCCGAAAACCGACAGTATCCTGTGGCATTTTGTGGGCTTTTATGGATCCTCTGGGCCTTTTGTTTTGGGCTGTCGTATGAATTTTTTTGACCAAATTGAGTCTAGAAATTCAAAAATATTACATGTTACGCCAGAAATTTCTTTTTATTCATTGCGTTACCGGTTTTTTGTTTTAGGATTTCATAGTATTTATGTGTCAGGAAGCATGCACATAAAACACCAGTTCTCTTTTCTCTTTTGTTCGTTGTACACTTTGATTTACTACTATAAGAATATCATTTGTTGTTATAGTTTGAGCACCAAAAAATATTTCTCTACTCATATCCTTAAATACAAAAGTACCTGTCTAGAATCAAGAAATCACCCGATCCCATACATCTGTAACTATAACAATGATTTTATTGATATGGGATTGTGTTTCTCACATTCAACGTCAAGGATTCAAGTAATTGGTGGTATTCTAAAAAACATCCCTCTTACTCTTAGATTTTAAAAACAATACACCTCTTTTTTCTAAACGAACTTCTATTCGATTCTTTCAATTCTGATAGAGAGATGACCGTGATTTGTTGATTCATTTCAGTGGCGATTTAATTTCATGTTTTCAACTTTAAAAATAAGAAGAGGATTGCTCAAGATAAATATTGGATTATACCTGCTCCTAAAGGGCTTTTTATAGTTGCAGTGTGAATATATTTTAAATTTTTAACTCGTTCGAGTTGTACAAATTGTTTCAGCTAATCTTGGCTAGTTTAGGCTTTAATTTCGTGAGTTTTATCTCGAAATGTTACTCGTCAGTAAATCTAAACCCAATTGTATGAGTTAAATTAAGTAAAAGAAAGATACAGGAGACAATCTGAAGGGAAAAAAAAAATTCCAAACTGAAATGGTGAAGATTAACCAAAGCAACTCATTAATCTTTCACCAAAACTAAAGCCCCACAGCTTTAAACGCGTGATTATATAACAATTACTTTGAGTAAGACCTACACAACCATAAATTTATATCATAAAGTCTTCATAATGTGAGAAAATTGAGTCATATTTGTCGCCTGCGTGACAAGATTGATTGTACCACTAATAGTCAATCGTGTAAAGAAATAAAAATAATAATTTTATTTGATATATTGTTAATCATTTTTAATAGGAAAACAATATATATTATGATAAATGACCATCAATAGTGACATATGACATCAGTTAATTGGTAAATCATTTAATTTCTGGACCTATCATGGACGTATTTATCAATTAATTGATATGACATGAGACAACATCGAATTCGTTAACAAAATACCTAACTTGATTCAAATCTAACTCCGCTCACGTATTCTTTAACGATCTATCCGATAAGTATAATTCCTACGATATATCAAATTATTCGACCATGTTTTTTTTAAAAAGGTGTTTTGTCAAAAGTTGTCATTATAGTTATATTTTCATCTAATTGGGATGGATCCTACTTTTACATAGGAAATCACAAAAATTCTTATCTGCCCCCAAACTTTTTCATAATGTAATTCATAGATTAACTTTAATGGTAATCACTAAGCAAAATTAAGGTGTAATTATGAGATCAGGTCATCAGCTTTATCCATACCTAAAAAAAAGTGCACACATTTCAAGGCAAAGTATAATCATTACATCCATTTAATTAAAGTACAATTTATAATTCCCATTTGATAATTAAAAAAATGGTTATTGATACAATACGTCCATACATTTGAAAGAAGATGATATATTCATCATTTCATAATTTTATATTGAGAAAATGAATGAAATTGGATGGAAATAATGATTTTTACAATGAAATGTACAAATAGGGATAAAAGTGCAAAGTAAAAAATGCAAGGTGAAGAAGTTTTGCACGACAAACTTCAAACGTAAAGGCATTTTGTACTAATAACTCCTAAAAAAAGATGCATGAGTTAAAATATTTTGGACGCGATTGTTATGATTTAAAGATTTGGGATTACGCTGTATATTTTTGAAAGATTTAAGACATTTTCTGCAAATTTTTCTTTCTGAAAATGCTTTGGATGAACCCTGAAGGACCTTATGTGGCTTTTCATCAACTAGCATTACTCTTGTGTCAATACTTGGTTACAAATTGGATTGAACTTCTCTTTACAAATGCATGATAGAGGTTTCAACCTTTCTTGGCCGTCACAAATAGAAACACACACAAAAAAATAAAAATAAAAAATAAAAATTTAACGCAAGGAAGTTATAGATCTAGCTTCACATGGATTGGTTCATTACCAACAAATAATGAATCGACAAGAATGACAACATAGTACGAACAATTGGATTTAATCAAAACCAGAATTCTTGATAGGAATAGTACAAATCTAATTTCACGTGCTTCACATTCATTAGAATAGTTTTTAATATTCTTTTCAAAGTCATTTGTCTTAATCTCTAGCTTATCTTTCCAAGTTGTTTATTAATGAATCAGTGTTTTTTCCCCCTCAAATAAACAAGAAGTGTGAATTAATTATCTTTTCCAAAGTTATTTGTCGCAATCTCTAGCTTACAAACTTTCTCGTATATAGTTTGGTAATCAAGTGTGAAATTATTGATGTTCTTTCTTAATAATTTTTTTTGTATATAATTTCAAATTAGATAGGCAAAGTTAAAGTGAATGGCCAATCATAACAAACCAACTATGGGTGATAGCTTGAATTAATCTAAAATATTCATGCCCAAGTGATCAGGGGCGAACCCAAACGACTTGGGTTAGGAGGTCAAAAATAAAATTTATAGGGTATCTTCTAATTAAAAAAAAAAAAAGCTAAGCAAAATTTCTTTTTCCCCCCAAAATCTAGAGGGTCAATTGCCCCTATAACCCCCCCCCCCTCCCCAGGTCCGCCCCTGCAAGTGACACTTATATACACATAAGCTCCGGCCAACAAATATAATTTTTCTTGAATAACTAAGTTGAACCCCGCCTAATAATAATTATTTCATCTGGTTTTTGAGGTCAACAACACTATTATCATGGGAGCAGCAAAATCGAGATACTGAAGAACATATATCAAAGCAGACAAGCAAGGCTATACTTTCGGTTATTGATCTATGGCTCTGGTTGGGATTGGTTTAATATTCAGCAATGATATGGCAATTATAAGAACACAGTTTGAAATTTTAGCCTAATTCCCTCTACTGCTAGTGCTTGTAATCATCACCATACCACATAAAGTTACTAAAGAAAAGAGCACAATGCACCCATGTCTCCCTATACTCCACCCTGGAAAAATCCCACAACACAAAAAGGCAAATCCATGACTAGAGTGTTTCATCTCTAAACAATAATTTTTTGTGACAAGACTCAGCACCTAGATAAATCATGTCTGATTGATCTCGAAACAATGAATTCTAGTGACAAGACTCTACTCCACAAACAAAATATAGAATATAGTTCAAAGACGTGAAATAATTTAGCGATTGGAGGTGTTACCTTTATTTCTTGACATTCAAATTTTGACATTTCAAAATTGTGACACGTGGCTCTCAGATGAACGGTTTATGTCGATCATTAAAAAGTCACATGCAAAGAATGTGCTTCACTTTTTAAGGGGTAAATATGTATATTAACTTCAATGAAAAAAATTTGAAAGAAAAGGATAGAAAAGAAAAATAAAATTGAAAAAGCAAATTAACTACCACCTTCCTCTTCATCCTCACCCACCCAAACTTGGAAAAAACCCACAAAACAAAAAAGCAAAAATACAACTTTAAAGGTCCAGATAAATCTTGTGTCCTCTAAGGTTTACATTATTCATCAATTCTAGTAGGTCCATTTTTCCTTCTTTTTTCTTCCCATTATTAGAGCCTGTTTGGGAATGATTTTTCCCCAAAAAAAAATAATAATTTTTTGACCTCTATTTCACTGTTACAGTCATCATATTTGACTTCTTCTCGCACATGTGGACTTCACTTTTCTCCTAACAGTCATAAAATCAATTCTCAAAATCATTCTCAAACATGCTCTTAGTATTTCCTCTCTCTTTCTATTCTCTAATCCGTCCAGCCTCTACTTTATAAGCAAATTGAATGGCCTCATTTTGAAGATCTTTCACAAAGTAATTCCTTCTTGCCATTTTCTACTTTCTCACTCTGCATCAAAACAAAAATGAAATCCATAGACCTATTTTGTGCCTCCCCTGCCGCCACCGCCATATGTTCAAGCATGGATCAACGCGCCACCGTGCCTCATGGCATGAAGGCGCTCGACCGCCATATTCACCGCCTTGGCGACCGGCCTAAAAGCCGTGCACCACCACCTTGTTCATCCCAACTCCCCATTGATCCTAGAACTTATTATCAAAGAAACAGAAAGAGTTCTTCTAAGGAAAGTGAATTATTACGTAGAAAAAGCTCAGCTGAAGTGAATGACCCAGGTTCTTCAAGATACTTATTGAGTGACAAACCATTTCTTGATTTTATATCAGATTCTGAACGCATTTCAGCCTTGGTTCCTATTAATCAGCCTGTTAGGACCAAACGTATGGATTCAGATGAGTTTCCGATTTTCAAGTCTTCGTCCACTCGGTCGAATGAGTCTACTCCTCGGAATATGCTTGTAAAGAAGTATACAAATCCGGTCTTTAAATCGTCGGCAACAGACTCGAATGATAATATGCTCGTAAAGCAGCAGCACACTTCTCTAGTGGATAAATCTTTGTCAACACGCTCAAATGATACTCATGCTCAAAAAAAGCCTCCGTCGACACGCTTGAATGATCATCTTGATGTTCACAAATCTACGTCAAATCGATCAAGTCATCGCAATTTAACGGTTCTTTATCTACTTACTTATCCTACTTATATTTTTTTTTTCCGCTCTAATATCGATACTTAATTGCTGATAATTTTTATTATGTTTTTTATAGGTTGTCGAATTGAGGGTGTCAATTCATTGCAAGGGTTGCGAAGGAAAATTGAGAAAACATATCTCTAGAATGGAAGGCAAGTATTTGCAAGACATCACAAATTTCATAAAAATATTTTGAGTTTTCCATTAAACGTAGCAATAAGGAGGAGAAATTCATGTAAACGACTCTAAAGTTATTAAATTTAAGACTTAATTTGTCGTTCTTGCATATATAAACATAATGCTGTGCTTTTTACCTAAGGTAAACAATTCTTCCATGTTTATGTTAATACTCATTTGTTTCTAGAACTAATCTAGTTAAATTTATTACTATTTACTAGTAGTGTCTTTGCTTTCAAGAAACAATATTAACTGATTGGTTAATCTTTCCCTTTTTTTTTTTGGTTGCAGGAGTTACATCATTTAATATAGATTTGCCCACTAAAAAAGTGACAGTAATCGGGGATGTGACACCTCTAGGTGTGCTTATGAGTATTTCCAAGGTGAAGAATGCCCAATTTTGGCCGTCTCCAACTTCTTCGTCTTCATCTTCATCTCCAAAGTAGTCTTCATCTTCATCTCCAAGAGTCGGTCCGATCAATTAAAATTTCTAAACAAATGAAGAAACCAATTCCATGCCGACCATCTGTTCAGTAGCATTTACTAGATTTTAATTTAGATATGTGTGCTTGGTTAGATAATGACGTGATAATATGTCTCGATATTATGTCCTGGACATTACTTGCACATATATGTATAACATTATTGTATTAAACTTGCTAGTGAATGTAACGTTTTTATCTTGGTGATTTATCTGATGATGAGGAATATTTCTATCATTGTGAAGAATGCAAATTAAGCTAAAAAAAGTGTGTTTGAGCCTCGTGATCTTTTATCATAATTCATCGGGAACAATCGATTTTTGGCCCCTTTTTTATGTCCAATTTTTGTTTCTTTTGATTTCAAAAACATGTTCAGACAGCTGGGATTGTCTCTGAGAATGTCTTTTTGTTTACTGTTTTCCATATGGGCATTACAGTTTGTACTGTTTTCCAACATTTGACTGTAGTTTGAATACAAATATTCTCATTGGATTCAGGAATCCGACAGTCTATAAAATAAATTTAAATTTCTGCATTTTGCAGATTAAATTATCAATTCAACATTTTATTCCCTCGAATTATGAGTTATTGTCCCGTTATTCATTAAAACAATCTAGGTTTCTTGGAAGTTAATGCTTCTTCAAGACAATATTTGAATATATAAACCAATCATATTCAAGGAAGAGTTTGACCCTGGCTCAGAACAATACATACTAGTCATACGAGTTCGGTTGATAGGCCATTCCCCCCTATCCGTCTCTTGATCCCTCATTCCACTAATCCGGTGTCCCATTTTTAGTAGCAGATTTTTCAAAATGAGATGGTTCAACAGAGCAAGCCTTATTCTAGTACAAAAGCAGAAAGAAACAACCCTACTCGACCTTATTTTCCAGGGCTAACCTTAGTTAATTTTTGAATTTCAAGTCGCTAAATTTCATTTTGTCGCTCCGTACAAATCCGTTAACTTGACAAAACAGAAAAACGGGACAACTAATGATTTGTGTACAATCATTTTCTTTTCCACAAAAGTATATGTTGCATTCATTATTGAGCAGTATCAAGTGAAGCATAAATAGTAATGCGAATGCATAGACATAATGATTAGAGTGTGGAAATTAAGGGCATAGTGCACGGGGGGTGTCAATACGTTAAACTTTTATCCATTTCCAATCCTTCTCCTTTAGAATGTGTGTCCATCAAAGTGGGATTTTGTTATAATGCATGTCGCCTTCTACTTTCAAAGTTCATTTCTAGATTGTGCAATTCAAGCCTTTCCATTATGGATATACCATCTAAAACTTCATCTTTTAGGCTTTTACTTTGCCTCGATTCTTACATAAAATTTAAGTAACATTTGATTGAACTAGAATCTCTTCAATATCCTCAATCAAACTTGCGTTCTCCAATCCCTAGATCTTTCCTTCGCTTGTCATAGGTATCAACTTGACTTCATCGTGAACAAGCATAAAAAAAGACTTCGGAATATGTAAGCTAAAAGACTATGACTACATGACAAGGTTGAATAGACTAGCTTGTATTCTTATTGGAATTGAATACGGATGTCGATCATAAGCATGAATGGAATCATGGAACCCAAATATGACAGCAAGGCATACCTTTTGATTTCAAGATGAATTTTTGAGTCCAATTTTGGGCCTAATTCCATTCACTGGCTAAACTTTTCTCTTTGGCTATTTTGAAACTGTAACCCATACCTATCAGAACAGAAATGTTGGTTTAAAAAAATGCTGCAACATAGAACAAATTAAGCAAGGGCAAATACAAATCCCATGCTTTGTTATTATTATTATTTTAAAATTCAAGTTGTGGGTAGGTTAGGCACTTGCTCGTTCGAGCTTAATGATCTTACGTTGTGATTTTAAGACAAAACTTACTCTTTACAGCGTTCAAAAAAATTCAAGAAATTATTTTTCAAGATGAATAAATTTTGGTTTGTATTGAAGCAATGTTTCAATCGACAAAAACTAAAGAATTAAATACTTATTTTATCACCAAAATTTTTATATAATGTTTGAAGAGGACATAACGTTTTAACTAACGTATAGAAAAATAAAAGCAAACTTTTTTCATAACTTCTTTATGTTTATTTTAATCTAATTAACTTTATTTTCTTTTGACCAAATCTCATGGACTGCTGATGAACAAAGAAAAGAAATGCCAAAAAAAAAAAAAAAAAAAAAAGCAGAATTTGGGACTATATAAAATAATTGTTGGACGCAATTTTTTGACTTGGGACGGCGCCACCTTCTATGTCCTGGTGTAGCTTTTGAAGGGAGAAATTAGATAAAATTTTGGGGACTGAAATATTGTTTAAAAAAATAATTATAAAGTATATAGTCGTCAGAAAGAATGATGATAATATTAATAAATGAATATAATAATAGTAGGAAATATGAAACCTTTTTAAGAAATAAAATGTCCAATGCCAATGTCTTGATTTTATTAGTATCGTTAAGGTCATGATGTTACAACCTTAACTATTATCCTAATTAACCTAATCGTAGATGGTACACATGTTGTAAGTTTTTTTTTTTATATCCAAGTATCCCAGCTTACACTAGACTAAATCCTAGACCCCCAAGACCCTTGCCCCTAGAACCTTGAAGGGGGTAAATCGCGAGTTATAACTCAACTGGATCACAGCTTCCCCCCACCGCCTTATTTTAAGTTATTTTTATTAAGATGTTTAAATGTGTAAGTTCTAAGTTTCTTCTTCATTTTCTTTTTTTTTTAAATAAAGAGTCCCTATAAATTTCTTTAATAGTGTCAAAATAGACGTCGAGGCACAAGAGCTGCTCAACTCAACCTGTATGGTCTTTTTAATTTATCCACTAAAAACTATTAAAAAGCACTAATAAACTTCTTTAAAAAAATCGAGCCTAGACAAGCACATGTTCAACCCATGGACCAGGTCGATTGACTGGACTAACTATTTTCAAACAATTGATGTAAAATAATAATAATAATAATGTTTTAACATTTAAAAGTGTTTGAGCTTTGCAAAAACCTTTCCACAATATGGCCTTCTTCAGATTTTAACAATTTGAGAATATTTATTGAATTCACTAACCATAAAATTTGACAGAAACAATGACAAATAGATATGAACCAAAGATAAATAAATAAATAAATAATAATAATAATAATAATAATAATAATAATAATAATAATAATAATAATAATAATAATAAAAGGTCGCGGAATTTTCATGAATAATGTTTCTATATGCTTCCAAACATGCCAAGCAAAAGTTGAAATTTTTTTCTGTATGCTTCCAAATATGTCAAGCAAAAGTCGAAATGATGTGATAAGAATCACATTCATATCCAAAATCCGGCCCCTTTTTATAGTTTAGTTCATCTACTTTATGAGACACAGTTCCTCACTTGTTGTATGCTTGTTACAAATTTTCCAATGACTAGCACAGCTATGAGATTTTTAATAAACATCATGTTTAGTAATCAGAATACAACTGAACACGATAATGAATAAGAATTGATTTGCAATCTACTCAAATTATCTTTATGTTCAACTAATATAATTGTATAATTATATTTAGAACCCACAAACCATTCTGACGTAGAGCAAAATTTCTTCGAACATGTTCTTGAATACATTTTGGATGTGACTAAGTCTCGAATTAGGGAAAAAAAATACTATCATTTGTTCCTTTTATTAAAACTATGTTTTTCTTATTATTTTTTTATTTTTTGGAATAATGGTCATGTCCAAAGAATCAAAGTAATTCTCTTCGTAATGGGTCCTTTTCTCTTTAGATTTTTTGGGTATAATTTGAGCAGGGATGGACGTGGTTCCAAATGGTTCTGGTTCCAAGAGAACCGAACCATGAACCAACAGTTTTTTTTTATAATGGAACCAAATGGTTTCTTTAAAGACATGAAACCAAACTAAACCGAACCGTTCGGTTCTGATTTGGTTTGGTTCTAATTTCATTTCTTAAATTTTTAGATTTACATCATATAAATTAGTATGTATACCTAAATAAGAATTTAAACATCAAATATTTAGGAAGTTCAAATTTCAACATCGAGATTAAAAAAGTCATAATTAACAAACAAAATATATTCATAATTTGATACACAAATCAGTTTTCATTTTCATACAAAAAATTGTTTACTAAGTTATGGCAATGACTCATTAAATCAATTGTAGTAGTTTTAAAGGCACACTCCTACAATAAAAAATGAATTATCAAAATTTTTATAGTCTACTTCTATAGGCAACATTAATCTTTTAATATTTCATGAATGTTAATTGGGCTTTCCTCTATTTATGAAGAACACAGATAACTCATCAAATAATCAAGGTAAAAAAAAAATTTAGAGACCTTTTAAGTAACTAACCAATTTCATTTTCTGATCTTAAATGACACTCCACTGACTTGATGAAATACAGTATCAGTATGCTACGACATTATGTAAGTTGAAAATGAGTGAAGGAGAAATAATTCGATTGAATACAAAATTAGGGTGTAGACAATTAATGAGTTGTTTATCTCTAATAACCAAAAATTGATTAATAAACTATATTCAATCAATGGGATATCTCCAATGAATATAAAATTAGGATCTCCACTTTTTATTATATATAAAATTAAATATTAAGTTTGGTTTTGGTTCTGGTTTTTGAACTAGAACTGAATCAGAACCAAAATCAAATAGTTTTTGATTCAAAGAACCAAAACCATTAATTTTTTTTGATAGAATCAAATCAAACCGTTTGATTTGGTTTGATTCTGGTTTGGTCTGATCTGGTATGGACATTTTCTCCACCCCTAAATTTGAAGGTGGTCCTTTATTTTTTTTCTGTTTATCATTTTAAATGTCTTTTTCTTCTTTCTTCTTCTTTTATTTTAATTGGAGATGAGAAATTTGGAATCTGATCAACACTCTCACTAGCTTATTTGTTATGGTGACTTGAGAATGTCAAATGTAGCGTAAAAATGAATGTCAAAATAGGTGTTTTGCACACTAAATGATCAAGATTAGAAATGAGAATGTATATCAATAAGAACGTGACACTGATTGAAGATAAATTAAGAGATTGACAATTTAAGTGGTTACAATGTTGTTTTAACTTTTCAATAAAACTTAAGAAACTTTCGTTCACAAGAATGATGCGATTTTAGTGGAACTCGTAAAAGAGGGAGGGATAAACTAAAACTTATTGTAGTTATTAAGAATTTAATATTTTTATTTTGTATAGATTTAGCAATGAACCCAACGTGAAGAAGATTAGACTCACGTATATCAAACTAAAGATCAATCAACTGCAGCTGAATACAAGAACTTATACACTGAATTTTTGGCAATCACAAACTTTCATTTAACCACGATTCTCATACGGAATTCATAAGCACACAAAATAATAAATCACATGTCCAGTGAACTAATAAGCAAGGTACACATTAATCTGCAGCAAAGTCTCAAATCCATCGGTCTCATGCTGATTTGTGGCTGGGAAAGTTTTCACAGTGGCAAATCCCTTAGCATTAACATATTTCCCTGTGCCACCCATAATGGCCAGATGGGATTCGGCAACTGCAGTCCGGTGGACCCCGAATAGGCTAAGACTATCAGCATAGCTTCCACTGGTAAACATTACAGTGAATGCCATTGTTTGGCTATTTCCATCTTCTGAACTTGCTATGTAAAAGCCTTGTGCTTTTCCAACCAGGCCTGATCCAAGGTCGTGCCCTTCTGTCAACTCGTCATTGAATACTGTCATTGTCCCGAACATGAGTTTCTGGAATGTAGTCCCGGAAGGGAATTGCGCACTGTTCAGGACTGGGAACCCGGGGGCGCCACCTATTATGTTGTTCCCATTGCTGTTTTGCATTACGTTGGAGGTGAACCCGCTTAGGCCAGTGAGGAAAGGAATGTTGTTGTTGCTGACAATTCCACCATTGGCATTGTCCGTTGGGATGCCATTGTTAACCGGGAGAACGGCGCCATTAGGCTTGGCGAATGGTACCTGGCCACTGACAGCCGGGTTAGCTACAACACCGGTCACAGCAATAGCTGAGGGGCGGGACCCACCGAGTATGTCATGCATGAAAAATGAGATTGTATGATCAGGATTTTCAATGCCTGATGCAGGACCACTTCCCACAGCTGCGCCACCAGTTCCTACAACTGCACCAGCTCCAGCTCCAGCTCCACCAGATACTGGGGTTTCCACAGGATCAGATGCCTCAGGTGGCACCAATGGAGCGGCCACGTCCACCTCCTCGTTAAGGATTCGAGTCGAGGCTGCACCTGTTAAGGTGAGTGCTAGAATGAGTAAAGAGATGAAGCCATTGAGATTAAACACAGAGATTGCCATGAATTCAAGAATGCAGAAATCTTTATGCTCTCTGATGCTTGAGAAATTGTGTATTCTGGAATTGAGTTGTTAGAGAACAGCTTGTCTGTGTAATATATGCAGCAATATCCATGGAGTTGATGAGATGGATTAGGTGCATGAGGAGTTTGCAGTGTTGTGGGTGTATTTGTTGGTGGTTTGAAAGGTCACCTTCAGACATTAAAAATAGATTAGTTAGAAAAGAGAGAATTTTATAGCTCAGATAACCACTCAAACATAGAATTTGATTCTGCAACATATGATTATATCTGAATATATTAAATCTATGCCTATCATACAAAATGTTTGAACCACTATTTCCAGTGGAGTTCTTTCTTTCTCAATCTTATTTTATACTTGACGAACAAAGAGAAGTAGAAATTCTTCCAACATAAAGAAGAGGTGCAGCTATGAGATACACACCCGAACGAGAGCAGCTAACGGGTCTCAATGCATTTCAATATGCCATCAACTGATCCATTAACTCCTCAAATCCATTCCTCGAACGTGCTTCCATTTATCAACAAGCAGCAAAGCTTCTACGTAGTTCTCAATGAAACTATTCCTTAAATTTTCACGTATGCCTGACACAAATCATGGCAGCTCTTAAGTGGCACGAGGAATATTTTCACAAAGGATGCAAGTCCAATGACCACTGCCATTGACGCAGTTTAACCAATAACTTGGGAAATAGCAACTTCATATCACACAATACACAAAATAAGAATTCCGCGCTACCGTATCTTCCCTGACCTTGTACATGTTTTCTCAGTGAGAAGCTTTTATCATCGACTTCACCACCTAATTTGTAATATGTAAAAGATGTTGCCCCATCAAAAATGGCCAAAGAAATGCAAGCATATAAAGCAACACGTGAGATTTGAAGATAGGGTGAAGAATTACAATCAGTAGGCATGTCGGATCACATTGCCATAAGCATCATAAAGACTATTTTATAAACTTTATTCAAACAACTACTACCACTAAGCAAGAAAGACATCACCAGTAGAGGTAATATCAATCAAAAGCCTAGTGACAACTTCATGATCCTTACAAAAAGATTTTACCAAGATTTCCCACGAGCCCAAATCTAATATCATATTCCTCCTCTCCATCTCCTCTAAAACAAAGCACACATCATCCATTTTCCCACCCTTGACCAAGCCAATAACCAAAGAACAAAAAGTTTCCATACGAGGAAAATGCTTACTGTTTAACATCACATTCAGAACCTTCAAACCTCCCTCAAAATCCCCAATTCTGCAGAAGCCATCGACAACCATCCTGTAGGTAGCAGCGTTCGGCTCACAACCCCCAACTTGCATATCAACCAACACTTTATACCCCTCTGCAGCTTTACCTTCTTTACACAAGTAATTAATCAATATATTATACATAACCACATCTGGTTTTACCCGTCTTTTCTTCATCTCAACAAGCAAACCTCTAGCTTCGTCAATCAGTCCTCTCCTAGCAAGATCACTCATTAAAACACCATAATTTACAAGTTGAGCTTTGCATCCTCGATACTCCATATCAAACATCAGTTTCTTCGCAGAATTGTACTTACCCACAGAACATAAACCTTCCATCAATAAAGCATATGTCACAGCATTCGGTTTCTTCCCCTTTCTCACCATGTCTTCAAAGAAACTTTTAGCCTTGTCGATATTACCTCTTTTACACAAAAACCCAATTTGACAATTATAAGTCACGGCAGTTGGCTCCACCTCTCTCTCAAGCATTTCATCAAACACTTGTCTAGATTTAACCCACTCACCCTCCTCAAGCCACATTTTGATCATAATATTAAACGAAACAGAGTTCAATCTAAAACCCAATTTATGACCATCCCTAAAGAGTTCAGTTGCATCAATAACTCGATCATTATCAACCAAAACATTCAGAATCGTATTAAAACTCTTAACTGTTCGAACACAATTATACAACCTACCCATATCACGAAACAGCTCGACAGCCTTATCTATCAACTCGGCCTTGCCAAAATGCTGAATCAAAGCAATAAAAACAGCCTCTTGACATTTTATATCATATTTTCGGATTAAATCCAAAAGGGCATCAACGCCTTCAAAATTTTTCGCGCGAGCCAGCTTGTATACGAGTGACGCATAAGAAGGGTAATCATGCTTGATGCCCATTTCATAATATCGATGGAAAAGAGAAAGGGCTCTGGCCGGGTTTTCGCATTGTTTGAGATCATTAAGAAATGGGATGGGTGTACGAAGCTGGTTTCTTGAGGGTTTATGAGGACGTTCACGGATAGGTTTTTTTCTGGGTTTATTATGCAGAAAGCCATGGCTGCGATAAGATTGTGAATGTTTGGAATTTAACAGCGTAACATAGTGAAATTCGATGGAAGATTGAATCTTGGTGCCAACTGGTTTGAATCGTGAATAAATCATGGAAACAAAAATTCGAACTAAAATGATAGCAAACCTAAAGCTTAACACTCATAAGAAGTTACTTTTCTCTTCTCAAAATACAGTTAAAAAAAATAAAAGAATGTAGGTGAAAAGTAACTTTAGAAGTAAGATCAGACAAAATAAAGTAACTTAAAAGTTACTTGTTTAAATAATTTTTTTATGCATTTATTACATCATAAAGAGCCTTAATACACACTTTCACAGAAGAAAAAGAAATAAGCTGGTGCATAAAAATAAGCTTCTCTATTGCATAAAGGAAAAATTAAATGAACATGGAAGATATTCTTGTGGTTTCAGTAAAACATGATCCACCTTCTGTGAATAAGAATTGGAACCCTCAAATGGTTTATGCTAAACCAACCTATTTACCTCGAGAACTAGAACTAGTAAATACTTTACTTTAAAATAAATAGGCCAAAAACTCGGGTGTACGTATGCTAATTCACTCTACTATCAGAGTAATTGTCTGTCTCCATATAGATCCATCTTCCAACAAATGGTTAGAGAATTAGTGACCACAAGTCTCCACTGGCACTATTACTGTACTACGCATTCGCCCTCAATGGACTCAAAGCTCTATTTTCGCTGTGCTCGGAGGATAATTGCCTTTGCTTTCTAGTTAAGAAGCTTTTTGCATAAAGGGACACAAAGACGATAACCTGAGCAACAAAAAATGCATCCAATCAAGAATCCGATAACATCTAAATATTTATAGCGTGGATTAGCCGTTATAGTATGGTATTAAGGACAATACTGTGTACCAATATGTCCTTAGATTACGGGTTAAGATTTACACTTACAGATCCAATGCATTGTTCCACGCTAAGTGGGTGGCCAAACCATACACACGATAGCAGAATGCTCAACAACTGTATTGACAAATAGAAAAGCCACACAAATAATTTGTGAGTAAAAATAGAAGGAAGACGATGAGGCCATCTTTTTAAACATGTTTCTCTCGTCAAATAGCATTGGAAATTGTTTACGTACCTGTCTCGTGGTCATTATGGTGGCGAAGGTTAGAGCACCGAAATTTCGGATTGTGTAAGAAATAAAGAATTGGCTTATTGTTGCAACCTGCAATACAAGATTATGTAAAACGAACTTATTTTTCAAACTAGGAGGGATGGTGACTTTGTATGCTTACAGGACATAGAATCATTGCAAGTTAGTACTAAGAGATACGAACACAAAAAGATTGAAATTTGAAAGAAAAGAAAATCTTTACTTTCATATCTTACAGTTGAGAGGATTGCAATGTCAAAGAAACAATCGTTGTGCCGAGAAACAAAATCTATTGCCATGAGAAGATTGCCTTGTAAGATTAGACCTATATAGAAATAAATCGAAGCATCAAATTGCACAGTTGCAATATGAAATAACATCCAGATTGGTCAATTCATATAAACTGATCTTAAAAGAACGACCTTAAAATATTAGCAGAGATATAGGATCAAACTTTTCCAACGGTTGGAGCTAGTCAATATCAAAAAGCTATAAAAAAATTATAGCTACAAGACAAGTTTAAGAACTACAACAAGAAATGGGATACTGATTGAAACATGATCTTACCAGCAAAACTGAGTATACATGAACATGATGCTGTGTAAAATATCTGATTTTGTATCTCCATATCATAACCTTTGAAAAGTTTATCCTGGAACGTACTTGTGAATCCATCAAACCTGCAAGGGCAAGTTAGCAAGCACAAGTTAGGAACAGGAGAAAAAATTACATGTAACCTTATTAAAAGCAAGGTCAAAGTAATATCTAAATTTTATACGTAGTGGCATTCAGTGAAGCTCACGATTGATCTCCATGTCAGTTAAGACTTCTTAACCAAACTGCACAGAAGCTCACGCTCGATTTTTTCATGCCCAAGGATAACTTCCATCTAAGCTAACACTTAAATTGGTTGGACATGGGTACTGGTGTTAGAGACGTAAAGGATCTAGGTGTGAAGATGCGTGGCTCGCCATTAATGATATTAGTAATCTAGCATTAAGATGTCTAAAGACATTATAAGTAAATTTGTGGATAGAAAAAGAAAACTAGAATAGTTCATTTTCAAGAGGAAATATATTTTAAGGAGGCTCATTTGTTCTAAATAACAAGTATGGCTTAGTTCTTTGGACTTATTTCCTGCACGCCTTTTCAGGTAACATATGCTACCCGCTCAAATTTACTTTGACAGCAAAAGAAATTAAATTATACAAACGTTTCCAAAGGTTAAAGGATAGATGAATTGTTAATAGCATACCCAAGATAACCAAGCATCAAGGAAACACCCCAAACTGTGCTTTCCCTTCCTCTGCTATAAGGACTAATATCACCTGCAGCCTTCAGTTCAAAAAAGAAAACCGTTCATCATTTTATTCCTAAATAAACACATGAAATGTAGTAGTGGCATACATCATTCCATCAATTAACAGTAATAAGATCAATAGATAGCAATCACTCACAAATATGTTATCACTTTAGCTCTGAATACGAAGAAACAACAATGAACTAAGCCCTATTGAATCTCCACAGCCGTCATAATAGTATCCATAAATGACTTGTTTTTGGAATATATGAATATCCATATATGTAAATCCAGGTGCATGATATAACAAATTAAGAAAATCTAAATAAAGAAGAAGGCAGAATCAACGAAATCTATGAACAATCCGATAGTGTTTGACAGTCATTTCACTTCCAAAAATTGAAAGAGATTCTAACCGGGTATAAAATGAATAATGAACACCCAAGAGTCACTAAAAAGGCAAGTAGGTAATCACGCCCTTTGTACTTCTTTTGCATGATAACAGTACCCCAAATCTGCAACAGAACAAGGGGAAAGAAAATTAAGAAAAATGGAGTAAAAGTTAGAGAAAATTGCATTGTATGTAAAACTTCTATGAGGCACAGTGGTGATTTGAATTGGTTTGATTAGATTAATACACTATGACATCATATTTATTAGGATCTAACTTCTAGCATACATCGCTGACACATACTAAACTTTAAAGCAAGTATTGGAATTGAAGTATTAGCCATTTTAAGTCTTGAGAATAAAGGAGGGTATCTAAGAGATACTTTTTATTTCTATCAAATAAAATATGCCACTAACCTTTTTTTTAGCTAAACTCTGTTTTACACTCCAAAGTGATTGATTTGATTTTTAAATCCCAAAAACTATGGTAGTTCTGAGGACTTTCTTATGTCAGTATTTGTCTAAGAGTAAACTAATCAACATTGAACTAATGCCATAGCAGAATGAAATTAAATTGAGGATGTTGTCAAACATAATATTCAATCTTATAGATTTTGGCAATCAAAATGCAAGTATGATTAAAGACTCTGCAAAGTCATAATTGGGGTGTCGAATAAAACGAGGTCAAAAGAAAAATTTACACATAATACATTCATAAGCAATGAATGGAAAGGGAAATTAATAACCACAAAAATTGCCAAGTGCAGGGAAGATGGGACAAATTTCCTCAAGCAAGGACAAATATTGGCCAAACCATAACATAGGGTAAAGAAAGAAGACCCGTGAAAATTAGAAAATTCAAATTAAGCGTTTGAAACAAAATAATGGGAATTATTAAGCGTTTGAAACAAAATAATGGGAATTATTAACAGAATGGTAACTTAAGTTCTGTACTTCTGTAGTTCTGTTTCCTCAATAACAGTAATACTATCTTACCATTACAGGTATCATTTTGGCACACTTTGCCAGTGTCTGCACTGGGAAACTGACATATTTAAGGGCCTGGAGCAACCAAAGCAAAAAATTTCACGTTACACATTTTTCCTTGCTTCGTAAAACTCAAAAATAAATACAAAAAATCAAATAAGCTCTAACTAACTAAAAGAATATGTTTATATTAAATTTTGAAAACAAGTGTATATTCCGTCTGTTCTCATAAGAAGGGAGCATAGCTTACCTCATACTGACATGTTGTGGTAAGTATATTAGACACTGATACCACACCATACTTGTAAAGTGGAGCAACAGCATCAAGGGCCTTCCCACTCGCCTAGAGGAGAGAACCACAGGCAAAATAAACTTACAAATAAAATGCCGAATTATACCCGCCTTGCAGTAAGGCAGGCAGCAGGACAAAATCATACTAATACGACCAGTTTTAACATGTCCAGGGCACTTGAGTTCAATGTGAGAGCTTGGTAAGAAGAAAGAAAACAGATGAATCCAGCATTAAAGCGCAGTTACCAGTAAAACTCCTGCAGATACAGCAGATGTTGTAATGCGGTTACAGAAGACAAGAAACAGTGAGTATTTAAAGTACTCTTTATGCAGTCCATATGGAACTCTCATAATCTTTTCCTGCAAGAAACGAATTTCAGTTAATTTATATAGAAATTATTTCGGTTTCTGAACCATAATAAGATATTAAGACTGACAGTTAAAAACAATGATAATAAAATATTTCTTATATCAAAATAGCAAAATACTAAACTAGGTAATACTGGTACGACTTTTTTTGAAGATAGATAGATGGATATGCAAACCAGAGATCAACCCTTTGTCATCATTCACATGAAGCCAGACCAGAAAGACATTCTAACAAAGTATTCACATGATGAGGCACAAATAGCATGGATGTAGATATTGATTGTGAAGGAGAAAAATACTCAAATTCCTTATCGAATGAGAAAAAGAGTGCAAGATTGGCATATTTAATCCCCTGCGGTCTTCTTTACCATCTTCTCATTAAGAAATAGGCAAAGTGACCGTACTGGAAATGCAACATTTGGTTATATTATCCCTTTCTCTCAATAGATTTTCTTTGACCATCTCCTCAGACATGCTACTTAACTTAACCACATAACTCAACTAAATCTGATGTAGGACAATCATATTATGAATATGATAGCATTTAGTTCTTGAAACAAGAAGAAAGTTGAAAAACTCAAAAATTTGTAGAAAATATTTTTATTGTAATAAATTGATTAACTAAAAGTGTATAAAGCTTTTGTTTATATAGGAAAAGTAATTCCCTAATCTTAGCAATATAAGAAAACTAAACAATGTTACTGATAGGAAAGAAAACTAAATTCTAAAAGGAAACAAAATCCTAATCTAAAAATCCTAATGTAATAATAACTACTATTTTTCGTATAATATAATTGTTCTGTATAAAAATTGTATCTAACTGTGGACCAAGGAGAAAAAGGACTCAGCGTGTACATGAGAGAAGCAAGGAGGTCAACCTCTTTCAAATATACATGGATTTAAGCAAAGCAATGTAGTTGGACTCTCATGTCAGTTTGAATGAATCATCCTTTCCGTGGAGGTAAATCTTCTTTCGCCTAGCAAGAGGAGAGCACGTTACCAATTTTTGACCGTTTGAGTCCCTAGTTATGGGCTTTTATTGCATGGTTTATATCCTTTAAAGTTCTATTATTCCTTTCAACGGTCCCTTATTACTCTGCAAAGTGATGTCCCTTATGGTCATGTTCATGAAAGGTGGTATGGGTAAGAAAAATTTATCCATGCCCTTGCATAGGAGGTTGGGAAACATCCAAGAGGAAAATCCGAAGGTTAGTGGGAGAACATTTTCCACTGGAATATTATTGCTTGGGCATGAGCCGCATGACCGGACAACTGCCAATATCAATTAATATATTTTCTTAGAATATTATTGTTAGATATATCTATATATACTTTTCGTGGAACATCTCTTCTTCCGCTCTACTCAGTCAAAAACCATTCCCCATGGCTAAATGAAAAAAGACTTACGCCATTTTATTTTCATACCAGGATTTTTTACTATTCCATCTATCCATGGTATTTGAATGTGTCTGAAACATCTAGTTAATTTTTCAGCAACTTATCTTCAACGTGTTCGAGGAAAGGCACATCAGCTAATAATACCAAAATCATTCTACAAAAAACCAGAGTAAACCCAATAAAATACGTAAGAAGGCTTTTAGAAGCACGTGCATGCACGAACACGGTCCCTCTTTTCAAATTGACTTTCATCATAACGTTTTTGGGTTGTTAAATATTTGGCTTTCACAAGCACTTAAAAGCATGCGTGCACATTCAAAATTCCTCTTTTCAAACTGAATGCTTGCCTTAACTTTTTGGGTTGTTCTAAAATGACATTAGTTTTTTCCTAAAATAAACAAACTAAATTTTACACCATCACTGTTTTCACAAATGAACCCGACTCTAATCTAACGGTAGCAGCTACCTAGATCACAGACACAACTAGCACATGAATCAACCATCAAAACCACCATTTTCTCCAAGAGAGCCTCCAAAATACACACTACAGCACCTTCAAGACCTCACCAATATCTGAAATCATGCTCAGATTTCAACCAGTTACCATTCTCGGTCAACTAGAAACTAGAAAAGATTCATAAGATTAGCTGAAACAAACTTATGCATTCAAATATACCTTGTTTCATAGACAGTCCCATTTATAAAGCTAATAGGTACACAGAAGAATAAGAACATTTTGGAATCGTGATCAGTAGAACTAGTGATAAGGCTGAAATTTTAGGAATGATGGTCACTTAGAAGTGGTAGGTGCACGTGCATCTTTGCTCCTCTCTTGAGACTCTTTTTCAGGAGATTCAACTGATTTGATGTTTCATTTTTTCTGAAGCTGTAAACAAACTTACACCCGTAAGTGTTTTTTGCAATATAAGACAGCCCAAAAGATACTATAGTGTAGCTTATTGATCACGAAGCATGCTTTCTTGGCATGGCATAGTCGAGCTTTGAAAAGAGTAACGAAAAAATGCACTAACTACGAAAGTACCTTTATCGGTATCGCTACTACAATTTGTACCAAAATTATGCACTTTAAACTATAAAACAAGTGCATTAACCAACCTTTTAATCTAAGTACTAAATCTTTACTTCTACAGGCACAATGCCGTTCATTCTGCAAAATCAAATAATCAAAACCCAGCAAAGTCATCTGGATGACCAAAAATTCATTATATAACGAGATTCCAAAAACCCGATTTTTACTGTAACCATTGCACTATTCAGAGTTTATTAATTATTTACAAATGAATACACACATGAATTTAAAAAATGTATTTGGCTTCAACATAATGAACAATACAAAAGAGAGAACTTTTAACCTGTAAGACTCCATAGATAACGAGGGTGGACATGATTCCAGTCACCGCAAAAACCACTTTGAACAGTTTGTTCTCTTTCCACTGGTTCAGCAGCTCTGCCCGTGACTCCGCCATATACCATCCACCTCCGCCTCCTCCACCACCCCTCTTCACCACATCACCCAACCATCAAAACCAAAAAATTTGAAAAAATTTAAAAATAAAAAAATAAAAATCATTAGTATAAATATAAATTCACCAAAATTAAGAATCCAACCACACACATACATAAACTCACCAAGAATCGGAACAGTATGTGGGAAATAGCCGTAGTACGAAATCGAATTACGAAATCAATTCAGTGAGAGAAGATTTGGTCTCATGTGATCGGCCTGAGATTTACGTAACGTTGTTAAAAGTGCGATGGAAGCCACGTCAGACGGACTGGGGCCCACTGGTCAACGAACATTTATCTGGCCTGATTTACCTGATATTTTACGTTAATAGGGTGCGTTACACAACAGGAGCCAACGATAACCGTTGGATATAGATAAGGTCAAATGGTTCGCTTTAAATAGGGAATGTCAACTCATTTGCAAATCTAAATGAAGTCTTTTTTTTAATTACAAAGGGAACTTTAGTAATATACTAAGCTTTTATAATTACATGGGTTGTTAAATTTATTTTTATTTTAAAATGGACGGGTCATATTCATTTACCACTAAAAACTTGACGTGATTTTCTTTTTATTTACTCATAGATTTTCTTCAAAGGAAAATAACATATAAGAAAAAATTTAAAAATATGATGAAAATTTTATGAACCGTTAAAGCTTCTCATTATATGAAAACTTGATACAATCATGTAGAATTTCACTCATTCAGACAAACCAAACCCTTTAAATATATTGTCACCTAGATTGGTGCCGTAGGATTTTTCGGATGTTTTAGCACTAATGACGTTACATAACATTATTCATTTGAGAATGACAGACTTAGTAGGAGTGGGATGCACCAGTTTGGTTCGATGTGATATGCATTGAAAGAAGTATCAATCGAATTATGTGAAAGAAGGGAAAAAGAACATCAAAATCACGTTCATCGAATTGTCCATTGTTGCAAAATTGCATACCAAACACGCAAATTTTTCCTAACTGCTGATTTTCTAAAAACTTATGATGACTGATTCTGCTACAATATTCAACTGCCATTTTCTGCATCAATTCGAAGAGAAGCATGTTCTAATATTTGAGCCCTTAGAACTTGGTAGTTTTCTGATCTTTCTCTGAGGAAATCTTCGCGATTTAGAGTTCCTAGCAACAAGTAAATCGACACTGAACATTCATCCTGCATCCCGGGATTATAAATGTATGATCTACAAAGTGGACAGCTTGAATGTGTTTGAAACCATGTATCAATGCAAGAAACATGGAATACATGAGAGCAATTTGGTAAATGCTTCACCCATTGGCCTTCTTCAAATTCACTCAAACAAACAGCACATTCTGTATTGCTTGGACATGATTCTTCATCCTTATTTTTCTCAAACATAGTTATGGGAATTGAGTGCATAATATAGGAGTTGAGTCCCTGGCTTTCGTACTGCTGGGAAGCAGGAACTTCAGGAATCTCGTCTAGGCGTCGTCTTTGGACTGAACTTCTTGACAGATTTATTGCGTGTCGTCGTAGTCCTAGAATAACTGAAGAAAAGGAAAATGATACAAATCACAGCAACCAAACCCATAACCCATGGATTCCAGTCCGAATGTTCAATCTGTGGAGAAGGTGTTGGAGATTGGAACATTATAAAAATAAATCTGTTTTCTGAAAATTTAAGAATGTACTAATCAAGAAAACCTTGTTTTTTCTCGAGAGATCAAGCTTTGTTATAATTCTGAAGAAGTCTACAATGATCAAATGAAACAGCTAACATCTATTACAGGTGATTATTACAAAGAAAAGCCAAAAGAATTTGTCCTAATCTATAGTAATTATTTAATCTAAAATTACAAAGGAGATAACAAGAAAGATGTGGAATATACGAGAGAGTCGGGAGCTCGAGTTTTTTTTTTTTTTTGGAACTAAAGTTTTGATTATATGAACTTCTTTTCTTGACATATGACAGCAAACTAGGCATTCGTTAGCAAATGTACGATATGTTATGGGTCGGTAATGGGTTTTTAACAGAAGGAACTGGATTTGATCAAATCAAGAATCTAAGTTACTCAAAATCAATATCAATATAAGATTTTACACCTCCCCCAGACTCGTGCATGTAAAGATGGGAAGGATGATCCCTTTCCAATTTTCAGTAAGAACTGCGTCTCCTGGCTAAAGGAATACAGCTATTGGCATCTGCCGTAGTAGACATAATTAGACCATATTGTAAACTAGATTTCTGAGGTACATTTCCGAAAATTAACATAGGTAGAATTTGTGAAGATCCATAAGAATGTGAATCCAGTGATCTAAAAACCAGTTGTCCCAAATTTGATGCTGGTTTCTGAGCAAACATCTCATGATCATAGTCTTTTATAGGAGATGGAGGAATCTGAAAAGGCTGAAGCCAGGAAGGATTCCGCCACCTAGGTAGCGGCCCAGCCACCGGAAGCATCTGAAGAAGCGGCCTGGTTTCAACAACATGTAAGTGTTATACCCTTGATTCAATCGATTTAGATTGTAAACGCTTTTAAAATGTTTAATGCATTTAATTTTGGCAAAATCTATTATTTATTTAAATTAATTTTGTGATAAATAATATTAAATAATAGAATCCGAAGATTCAAGTTTAAGTGATTTGTTAAATCACAAGAAGTTATGATTGTGAGATACAAATTACGTATGATTGGATCTTGAATAAACCGTGGTCGTAAGTAATAACGAGATGCGGGTATCGTTAATACAGTTAGACCATCACGTGTGACATTTCTTACTTGTGAAGTAAATAGTTGATCTCACGAGTTAAAGTGTGGTGACACTTAAATGAACACGTTGATGTTTTGTTATAGACCAAAACATTGGAGACCCGCTAAGAGATTCCACATGGATAACTATCTGAGTGTCAGTGGTTCATTTCTAACGTTCAGTAGTGGAATTGGTCCTATAACCTGAGGTATCATAGTGCCTTGTATGAGGACAGTCATGCTTAGACAGTATTGGATGTTGCTCTACTAAGGACCGCTAATACGACATCGTTTGGGTATGTCAAGAACCATATGAAGGTTGTAAATGACTAATAGAGGATTCGTCATTCTTAGATAATAAAAGATTGTGATCTGCATTTCGTTCAATTAAGTCAATAATGAAATCTTTGGCCAAGATATACATATAAGTCGAAAAGGAGTTTTCGACTCATATTGACTTAATAGTAGAATGAAAGATATGATCAATAATCGAAATTGACATACTTCCATATCTCGTAGTTGATCGAATCATATTGACCGAAGGATTATAATTTCATGGTAAACGAACAGTTTTTGTTTTGTCATACCACGTGACATTTTCCGTCACATGTGTTGCCCTGATACATTGCTTGATATCAATCTGGGACGGCGAGTGTGAATTTGTGATAAATTAAAAGGGTGTTTAATTTATGAGTTTTGATTAGATCAAAATAATATTTCACGTCGTTAGATATCTTGATCGGGAACCTAATGGGTCGCACACAAAAGAGAATTGGAAGATTGCAAATTATCAATTAATTAATTTAACAATCGTTGGATAAATTAATTAATTGGATTTATTATTTATATTCCCGAATTAATTAATTGACGGACCGAATTTAATTAAATGGATTAATTAAACATTGGACCGGATAGGGCCGAGCCCATTTAGGTTTATATAAATACATGGTTAGGGTTTGAGGTTCATAAGATTTTCATTATTCTTGCTGGTACAAGAGGAAAAACCCTAGCAGTTGCAGTCTATTCTTTGTGTGGATTTTATTGGAGGCTAGACAATTTGACAGTTGTGGAAGGCAAATTCAAATTGCAAAAAAGAATAACGCAAAGGAGTTTGCAAAATCAAGAAAAAATTATATTTTTTATTACAATTCTTATCTAAATATAAAACTGAATCCTGAATGGGAATTGAAATTGTTTTTATTCCGCTGTGCATGTTTAAGTAAATTCCCAACACAACAGCCTTCAAGAATTTTCCCGTCCGAGGCAAAACTCTTCCCTTGACAAGGTTGTCTATAATTAAAGAGGCATGATCGATATTTGGGACTCCAGTAGTGACCTGATTGGTTGAAATCATGTTGATGTTTGAGAGTTCGGGAGATGATATTGCATCAAAAAGAGAATCAACTGGAGACGAAAGACAGTTGGATTCAGTTATGCAAGAATTTGCTTTCAGGGGTTTTACCAGAGGATTATCGAAATGAAACTGTGGAAGCATGTTCAAGCTTTCGGTTGATGAAGTTAGCATAAACTTTTTGAGTAGAGTCTGAAGTTGGTTTCGAGCTCATCTCTTCCTTGAATGGTAATGTCTAGGAGTTGGATCAATTGCTTCACGCATTCTTTGTTCTTGTTTTTCTTCCTAGCTTCTACTTTCAATTTTTCAAGTTCAAGAATCGCGTACATAAGCTTCGATTCAATTCATCAATATTCTGTCAGGAAAAAAAAAATAAAGAACAGAAAATCCTGTGAAAAAACGAAAACAGCAAGAATTTGTACATGATTATAGGCATCATATCAGAATCAAGCAGTAAGATTGTAATGTAAAATCAGATCAACTACTTTTTTCCAAAAGCTAATGGAGTTCAATTTCTAAAAAAAATACAGAATCAAGCAGTAAGATTGTAATTTCTTTCACCAAGTTTCATCTCGCGAAGCGGCTCTACTCGACTCGTTGACATCCTTAGTTTAACATGACCGATATTCATCAGATCAATTTACACACATCATATGCTGTTAAAAGTTAAAACTCACTAACTTCCATTAAAAACATCTAAATCTCTCACTAGATCCCATATATTGAAGAATCATGCTACGGTGACATAATAGTTGACAAAATAGTTGACATAATGCCACGTAGAGTTTTATCATTGAACTGTTTAAAATACAGTAACATTTTCCATCCAATCACAAAATGCCACATTGTCTTCTGTCAAACAATTTTGCCAAATTCTTCTGTTAACGTAACATTTTCCTCAATTAAAACCCATAAGAACTAAAATTGCATAGATTATAAACACTCAAAGAATCTCCATAGATATGCCTAGGCAAAACAAGAATTTCTCAGAAAAGAAATTTCAAAGTTTTCCAGAACAAGAAATAAATCAACCTTGAGTGATGATTGTTGTGTAAACATATACAATAAAATCGAAAATAAGAAGAAATTAAGATTGACACAGAAGGAAATTTAAGTGGTTCAACAATGTGCCTTTGTCACTGAATTCGAATAGGTTTAAATAAGGTTGTTTACAATATAATATAACCCTAATCTCGAAATTAATTCTGCTACATGTCCAGGCCTATATGCCCTTTCTCTCCTCTCCAACTACTAGTCCCA